TTTAATCATAACCTACATGTTACAGATAAATTCTTGTACGAGTATAATTGGTTTCATTTAAAACCAATAAAACTCAAGACATAAACCGTTATAATTTTCCTATACCCACATTTCAGTCATGAGGAATCGTAGAAAGTGATGTCTAATGTATTTTTAAACTGGAGTTGTAGAATTTAAATTATGAAGAGCGACTAACAGACAGACCCCAGGCCAGCTCCTATGAAAGGCAGTCCTCGCCAGTCATTGATCTTGCAATGCAAACTCGTTTAGTTTATGTTCTAAAGAAAACCATGGCGGCGCGTAGACATCTAGACATGGCGACTTCGCCAAATCTGTCTCAAGTGTCTCGTTTCTATAGACAGAGGACTTGTCTCTTGTCTCTGGCCTGCACTTTCACGTGTCTTTGCAATAATTTAATATGAACGACCACTAACGGGACACTGCATTACAGCCGTTTTGGCTTAACGATCGCCATAATGCATAGCGTTTATTTATTTGTGTCACCAATTTGCTTTAATTCGCCGTGGATAATGTAATGGACATTTAATTTGTGGGAGTTAGATGCTTGATGAACCGAAATTTCTTAAATTACAGCGAAAAGCTAGTTTATTTATTTGGCCAGTGGTAGAACCCGTTGTTGCAGTTTGAAAAGCTTGAGATTCTGCCGGGTCAATTAAGTTTGGATGTGAAAGAAATAATGGCCATCCTGACCATTTCTTGTCATAAGGAAGTATTACATCTTACTGTAACAGAGTTCGTTTGATATTTAAACTCAATAATAATGGTAGTATTACATAAATTTCCAACAAATTCACAGAAGATAAGTGACAATAACTACCAGCTAAATGAATTTAACGATACAAATAATAATATCAATTTCGCCATAAAATTCCGTATCAATCTTCATAAAAGCAGCATACTCGATCTTGGTTTTCTATAAAATGTTCTTGCACACGCCAAGATATCCGGCACGTCGTAATTTATTTGAAGCAGTATAATTTTAGTGCGCTATTACGAAATTATCGCACTTACGTAGTGTAAATCGATGATCGGACACTCTAACCTTAGAAAATTGGTCATTATACCATACCGTACAAAATTAGACGTCAACGACCTTCGGAGGTGCACAAAACACCAAGAGCGGGAGAATTATAAATGCTATTATCTCTTGACACGTTATTACCTCTTGGATTTATTGTGGCTGTTTGAAACAATGTTATGTACTGCGGTTACATTAAGTACGAGCTTTTAAATGAAACCCAACAAAACATGAACGTGGTAGAGCCAAGTTGGGAAAGAAATTTGGTGAATTTTAGTTAGGTGTTTTTATCGTTTGGTTAGCAACAGGCAGGGGTCACATATTCACAACCCTAATATCAAGCTTTATGAGCCATTTGATGCGGGAGGTGTTTGAAAAGGAAAATGGAAATGCAACCGGAAAGCTTTTATTTAAAGTTTTGGGAACCATAAACATGTCATCGATTGAAATTCAGGATTACCTAAGTAATAGGAAAGGTCAGCCACAGGACGTCCATTATTGCTAAACATAGGAGTGTTACGAAAAATTATATATGAGTAGATAAAACTTGTCTACGAAGAGAACGCAGGCCGCTACCAATCGATCAACATGGAAAGCATTGGGGGAGGCCTATGTTCAGCAGTGGACGTCCTATGGCCCCCTGAAATGATAATGATGATGAGATAAAAGTTAGATAATTAAGCCTACCTCTATCTACATGGGGCAGTCGAATAGGGAACGTAGAATGTGCGCAACACACAGCTTCAACTTTTTGTTTCGCCAACTTGGCTATCAAACTGCTTGTCTAGATAATCCACAATTTGCCGAGGCTCATTGTAACGTAGGCGCATGTGAGTGCCAACTGTTCTTTGTTATTCTTTTGATATCCATCTTCATCAACTTTAAGACATCTGGGCAACCAATTTACTAATTGGTCATAATTACTTTTTCTTTTAAATAAATCTTACGAGTATGTCGTCTTTGAGAATACACGGACTAGCTCAGAGATCAACTGGTTTAATACACTTATCTCTGTCACGCATTTTGGGTAAAAGTGTTATTTGGGTTAGTATCACAATAATCTGATACAATTTCATATCGTTCACGAGACGTTATCAATATTGGAAAGTCGGATTGGTTAGATTAAGTTTATCTGGGCATGACTTTCGCCTGAATTCGCTACTCATTCACGCAATGTAATAATTTCTGACCTTTTACGGAGCGCGTAGTCATTCCGTGACTGTGGGCAATGCTTATATGGCTCTTGCCTGATTGATCTTCACGGTAGACTTCGCCTTGACCTAAGAATTCGTGTGACGGTGCCTATTTCCCTACTTACTGCCTCAATAAGTCTATTTTTGGGTACAGTCGTTTGTATTGGTCGGGGTGTCTCTATTGTTGGCTTTGTGTAGAGTTGGGGGGAGCTATGTTCTGCAGTTGCTGAAGTGAAGTTGATTATGGAAGTAGGTACTTACTCGTATTGAAATCATTGTCATGTCATTACAAGGTTGCCTTGCACTTGTCACTAAAAACAAACTCAAAGGGTTTTCAAAATTAGCGCTCATTCTGAAGCAGGTCTCTAAACTTCATAACATGTATAATAGGTAACCGAACAAACATCCTACATGCAAATCCATTTAAGACTAAGTATTTGTCTATTTGCAGTGATTTTGTAAATGTAAACTTGTGATGTTTAACTATCTTACTTACGATAAAAAGTTTGTAAAGTTTGCAGAAAATTAGGAATGGAGCGAACTGACTTTATTGCCTATACTCCAACTAGACTAATAGGCTTTAACAATGCATTTGTTTATACAAAAATAATTAAAAGCACTAAAAACAAAGCTCTAAAAGTCTTGCTTATTTTAAACGTGAATCGCAAGCTCGCTGAGGATCCGTCAAAATAGTGTAATTTACAATACATTCACACGCAGACCGCCGCCATGCGCCAGTCCCACACTGTGTACAGTTTTAATTGCATTTAATTATTACGCAATGCGGCGTAGCTGTTTATGTAATTATTTGTGCGATGATACTAACTAAATTAAAACGCGAGATTAGTAACTTAACTCTGAGTACCACCGTTTTCCTGGAAAAGGATGTAGGTATTGCTGGTTAAATAAGTTGTTATGGAAGTAAATTTGCCGTAATTTTGATCATTAACTTTTTTATATTAAAGGTACTAAGCAACCCGGTCTGGTCTGTATTTTCTAGGTGGATAACGAACTCACTTATAGGGTTAAACTTGCCTACTTAAACTGACTATGTAATTTAATTGAAGATTATCAATAACTATGTTTTGAAGTCCAATCAAATTAATAAACCTGAAAGCTTTACATAAAATCTCGTCTCTACAACTAGAAATATAACTTTCTGCTTGTGTTCGACTCTACATTTTGCTGAATTGAAATAACTTACAATCACAATACAATATCGCTTGCTATCTCTCTCGTATCTCAGCCGATCCTGCGATAGGCAGGTAATGCTGTAGACAGTTTAATTGTGGTACTCCAACCAGAGCTCCCCAAAGATTATAGTCTCGTAAATGAAGTTTTCGTGTTCCACGGTTTTGGGCAGATTTAACTTTATAAAAGTGTCAGACGATGATGATAGACTAAGATTAGGTACTCACCAGGACCGGTCGTTATATAAATCCTTAGGGGAGGCCTTTGTTCAGCAGTGATCGTCATTTGGCTGAAACGAACAACTCTCAGTGAAGACGAAATTCATAGGCTACAGTTTTAATGGTCAACCTATCTTTATTGCGTCATGTTCATAGAGATCTTTAATGTAGCTAGAATTCGTAGACAAATATGAGTCGAGGCCTTTGTCCGGCAGTGGACATCTTTTGGCTCAAACGAACAACTCACTAGTGAGGACGAAATTCAATAGGCTACAATTCTAATGGTCAACCTATTATTGCGTCCTGTTCATAGAGACCTTTAATGTAGCTAGAGTTCATAGACATGAGTCCTGTTAATAGGACATTGCAATTTTGTGAACTCTATAATTGACCATTTTGCATTCAGTTCATTCGTAAGAAAGCTCTGGAGTTCGATATAGACCACTTTGGGAATCACTGCCGTTTAATCAAAGTGGAGTATCAGCGATCACTAGAACGGACGGAAGCGTAGCGGTATCTGACAATATGAGCTCTTTACTAAGTAAGTAGGTTTCGCGGGATCTTATGAAATGGGCGAATGTATTGTTTCAAGTACCTACTTGCTCTCGTAGCGGCGCTGATTTGACCCATTGTTTCTTATTTTACAAGGCATCTATTGTATTTTGCCACTAATTAAATATTACCTACATAAGATTCAATGTAGAATTAAACAAGTCGTAGGTAATTGGTCCATATTTATTTGTTAATAGTTTTTAGATAAAGTAGAAACGGGTTTTAAGTCGTAACGTAACGTGTTAGGTTTATTTTCGCCTATAACTTTTTTATTTGCTACGAATGCGTGTTTATTTACATCGTTACTACGACATGAAGAGTCAATAATGATGTAATGGAATGTTTGAAATAGAAAGCACATTCGTTCTTGTATCTGTGTTCACTTATTTAATTTAATTAGAAAGGATGTATTCGTAGATACATACGGATTTCCTTAGGGATATAGTACTATCAGACGCCCTTTACATAGTACCTACTTAGGTAACTTTATGCTGAACAAACCGATTTGCACTGACTCTTTGAAGTGCTGAAACATCCATTTCATTTTGACGATCAGATTGAGACAAAGTTAAATATTGTATCATAAACTAAATCGGGATATACAAAAAATAAAAAAAGTAATTTTTGAGTACAATAGGTATACGTCATCTAATGACGTGTCCATAGTAGATCTAAACTAGGTAAAAGAGAGAGCTTTTAACTCTCCAAGCACAATCACAGGGGCACGTTTGCCCTTTCCTGCTGTTAATTTTTTGCCTTTTAAGTACCTATTTCAAATTTTGATGTTTTATTTGTACAATTTCAGAGCGCGCCAGGATGTGGCGCGCACTACTGCTGGTGTGCCTCGCGACGCCGACGCTGGAGCAGCAGGCGCGGCCCAACCGCGTGCTGGACGTGGCCACCTCCTGCGACAAGGGCTCGCTCACCGTCCACGTGGAGCTCGACCAGCCCTTCAAGGGGCTCGTGTTCAGCAAGGACTTCTCCAGGGAGTGTCGCGTTCAAGGTAAAAACAAATATCTAGAAGCGTAGCTAAAGCTAAGTGACTATAGTTTCCACAAAAGACATGGATCGAAAGAGCTGGACGTAGTGGCAACCTCCTGCGACAAGGGCTCGCTCACCGTCCACGTGGAGTTCGACCAGCCCTTCAAGGGGCTCGTGTTCAGCAAGGACTTCTCCAGGGAGTGTCGCGTTCAAGGTGAGAAAGATCCAAAGCCATAGCTGCTAAGTAAAGGCACCGCAAAAGACTGTGGTATCGTAGGGGTAGATTACTACTACCTCCTGCGACAAGGGCTCGCTCACCGTCCACGTGGAGCTCGACCAGCCCTTCAAGGGGCTCGTGTTCAGCAAGGACTTCTCTAGGGAGTGTCGCGTTCAAGATAGGAACTAGCTAGTATCACAACCTATTAGTAGATAGCTAAAGTAACCGAAGGTCCTGAAAAAAGACTAGGTCCAGGGAGTGTCGCATTCAAGGTGGAAGGTGAGAAACCTAATCTTCTGACTCAGTACTTAAGTATCTTAACCTCAGATCATATTCCCTTCTAGGATCGGAGATCTTAACGTTACAAAACTCAGGCAGCGGTTTGATCAACGTAAAAATTACAAAGATTTTACAGGTTCAGCTTAGAGCTTTTTCAAGGTGCAGTCCTGTTGTCCCCCCTGGCTAGGGGAGACAACAGGACTTGATTTTTAATCAATGATTTGAGGACTGTTGTCCCCCCTGGCAAACATTATTAAAAAGCCATATATTTTTATAACATTAAGAAGGACTAGAGTACCTGAATGAAAGCCAAATTGTCAAACTGAATACCTATTGAGGTAATTATTTTGATGTGCAATCAGTATTTTAGCTTAGAATTCGGATTTTTTTAGTATGCAAAAAGATGATTTTATCTAGACGTTTGTCAAATAATAATTATTATTAACATTTTGATAACGAAAAAATATAAGTTCTTGGTACCGGTACTTACTATTTCTGAATATTCCAAAATCTGCTTTACTTGCTTTTAACAGATCGTTATGAATTATCCCTACTAAATAATATTATGCGAAAGTAACTTTATCTGCCTGTTTGTTACGAATTCACGCCTTAACCATTGAACCGATTTTGATGTTTGGTTATGAGATAGTTTTGAGTCCTGGAAAAGGAATTAGAACAGTTTTTGAAACAGGGATGCGCTCTATATTTTTTTCTGTGACAGACAAAATTTTACGCGGACAAAGCCGTAGGCAAAAGCTAAGAAGGTACCCTCAGATCATAGAATGGATGATCTTCTATGATCTGAGTAAGTAGGTACCTCTATATGCTATTCTCATGTATAAAAAATACTATCTACTGTAAAGTTTATCAAGTGTAAGTAAAAATCCGTTTAGTAGTTTTTACGTGAAAGAGTATCAAACATCCTTCGTATTATTTCCTATCCCTAAATAAATAAATCCCGTTCTTAGCGGATGTCTAACTACACCCTTTAAGGAACCTACCTGCCAAACTTCAAGTTTGTAGGTGTTAATGTGTTAATAATACCGGCACCAACACCTATCAAAATGGTAATTATTATTTGACAAACGTTTAGGTATTCAGTTTGGCAATTTCGCATTCAGTCAAATACTTCAGTTTTTCATAAATTATGCTCTAAAAATATTGGGCTTTTAAATAATGTTTGCCAGGGGGGACAACAGTCCTCAAATCATCGATTAAAAATTAAGCCAGGGGGGACAACAGGATTTCGAAATCCTGTTGGCTCCCCCAGGGGGGCCAAGCAGGGGGGACAACAGGACTGCACCTTTTTCAAAAGCCAACGTTACATTTTTAATTCCAGGAAATCTACAACAAAAGATTTCTCTGCACCTGCCGTCGAACGCGTGTGGCGTGAGGACCTCCACGCTCAACGAGACCTCCGAGGAGCCTGAGGACGAGGAGGACCTGTACTACTTCGTCGAGCTGGTGGTGCAGATGGACAGCAAGCTACAGCAGTCTTCGGACCAGGAACTGCTTGTTAGGTAAGTGATTGTATCATCGTCATTATCATTTTAACCACATAGGGCTTAGTATGAGTTTAAATCAAACATCGTAATTAGTGAGCGCGCAAAAGTGATATTCTATGTATGACGGATTGTACAGCGCCCCTAGCGAAACTTTCAAGAACTAAAATTTTCATATACTTTTGAACGCGCTTACTAGTGACGACGTTTGATGTACAGTCGCGGAATGAAAAGGTTCGTCACCTTAGTGTCGGTTTTCGCTTGCACTAGGTAGGGTAGACCGGGTACAATAGTACCACGGGTCAATAGTACCATCGGCGATATTTCTTCACACAAGCGACGTTCGGTTATGTGCATAGCGTCAGAATATGCGCTTTTTGTGTTTCCATCCGCTCACCAGTCGGCGGCGCTTGCGCTGAGAAACGAAGGTGTACAGGAAGGATTTTTGTTTTTTGCCCAACCGCGGTAAGTTTTTACGTCAAATATATAAGCCCATAAGTTGCCTAATATGCTATTTGTTACCAAGGCATTATTGTCAATAGCTTATCCAGGCTCTAAACTTTGTATCGACAGCGAATTATTGGCATTCACTGTGAAAATGACTGAATTTTAGGTGAAGTTCTCTTGACTACCTACTTGGAACAATTGTACCAGTCTCCATGGGGTCAATTGTAGCGGTACAATCAACCCCGTGGTACAATTAACCCCCGGAACCTTATTTTATACTTACTACATAATATTTTAAATTGGTTTTAAAGTACCTATACTTATTATAAAATAAGTTATTATAAAACATTCACGCGGTTATTATTTTTACAATTATAGGCATATCTACCTACTGAAATAATAGTCTAGGTTCATTCATAGTTGCATGCATTAAGCATTTAGATACATACTTAATGTGTTTTATTAAATAATTAGGTAGATGTCGATAAAAAGGTGATATAAGTACCTAAATGTCTACTTAAAATATTTTAATGTAGGTTTCTAAAACCCTTCTGAACATGTACATTTTAGCTTAATTCAGTAAGTAACTAAGTATTTGAACGTTTTGTTTTAGATGCCTCGACGTAGAGTCAAAAGTACGGATCACGGATCAACGGATCTATTCCTTTATGAACAGGCTTATGAAAAAATCTTAAAAGGGGGAAGCAGTAGTAGGTATAAATAATCAGGGTCAATTGTACCAGGGGTCAATTGTACCTTCATACAAAAATAGATTTTTAAGTTTTGATATTTCTATCATTGTTATTATGCTTATTGTTGTTTCAGAAGCAATATCCGAGCCAAATAAATGGCATATTATGTAGAAACAGTTAGTTTTTTGGTTTTTATGGAAGAAAAGTTATTGTTTTGTTTTTAAACTTTAGGGTTGATTTTTCATACTTGTTCCTAAATATTTTCGATCTCAATTAATAAAGACTGATCATTGTAGGAGATTAAGAGTACAGAATACCAATAAAGGTGATGATTAGATAAACATAACGACTTTTATTGCCTCATATATTATTGGTACAATTGACCCGTTGTAGGGGTCAATTGTAACATGAGACATCGTACAGTTCAAACTCGTTTTTCATTAAGTATTCGAAAGAATAGTTCAACTCTGCATGCTTAAATTTGTAGCTTAGGAGTCTAGTTTTTACAGCATACTAACAGAATAAGTTATATTTCATTAGATTTCATAATATTGAACAATTTCCAAAAAATGGTACTATTGTCCCCGGTCTACCCTACTGTAAGAGTCAAACCTGCCAACATAACCGTGCAAGAAACATTGCTGCTAACATTTAAATAAATATGACGTTTGCTAACGAATAAGGTTTTGCTTGTTTATTTTTCTATACCATCAGTGCAATGTTACAAAATGTAGTTTTTATTATTTAATAGATAATGGCAGGTTGCACCAACAAGAAGGTTTTAGTTTATCAATCATAATAATCTTCTTGACAAGTTAAATCGTCAAACAACTTTGATCTGAATAATTTTGAACTTTACTGACGAACAGTTAAAGATTAATTTCACTAACTCGAGATTATTCTGTAACATAGTTTCAAAAGGTAATATGTGCTCGCGATTCGTTGAAGGAATCAATTTGAAAACTGACGAACCTTTTCATTCCGTGACTGTACCTAAACTCACACTAAGCCCTCAGGACGTCCACAACTGAACATAGGCCTCCTCCCCAATGATTTCCTGATTGATTTGTAGCAACCTGCATCCAACGCCTTCCTGCTATCTTTATGAGGTCTTCTGTCCACCTTGTGAGTGGAAGTAATTATTATTTTATATGTGATGTACCTCCTTACTTACTTTATGTTGGTATAATCTCTGGATACGGTCATAAACAGGGTCTCCGGACAAAGTAATATCGTGACATCGTCTATTTTGTTATGGCTTCGCTACTTAAATTTTATACGTTCGTCGCGTGAAACGATGAGAAATTTAAATCTGTCACGAATGTTTGTTGTTGAAAAGGGTTTTAAAAGCAGTTGCCGGTTAGAGTGGATGTTTAAATATGATATCACACTGACAAGCGGTACAAATTACTTAATTAAAATAATCTTAATCAAGTCTAAATTAATTTCAGGTGTAAATTACTACCGCGAGCGGTACGGATAGTCAGCACAGCACTAGAGGGTATCATACAAACGAAGATGCGTGAACTGGTTGGGCAAGAAACAAAGAGAATAAGGTACGTTATTGTATACCACATTATTAACTAAACACGATCACGATAAAACTTCGTTTCAGCCAAATGACGTCCACTGCTGGACAAAGGCCTCCTCCAAGGTTTTCCACAATGCACGGTCCTGCGCTGCCCGCATCCAGGCTCTTCCCGCGACCTTTACGAGATCGTCGGTCCACCTAGTAGGAGGCCTGCCCACGCTACGTCTTCCAGCCCGTGGTCGCCACAAACTTAAAAGAAATAAATAAATCTTTGGACAATTTCACACATGCAGCGCCAGCTTATAGCATATAAAGTTTCTTACTTGTGGCTAGCTGTGTTATGGGTGCTAGGCGCTAGCTTAACGGATATACCTACTACTTATATACTTTTTTAAATACATACTTACATATTACATAGTAACACCCAGACCCGTCACAGAAATTAAAATACATCATTTCAATTTCTGCCCAACCGGGAATCGAACCCGGGACTCTCTCGGCTTAGTAAGCAGTCCGTTTCCATTACACCAAACGGCCGACTCATAAAAGAAAACAACTATTGAAGTCTTCTAACATTGCAGTTTTATTTAAGTAAACTGCCTAAAAGCAGACAGTTAGGGGCTTTTTATTTTATACCCTTTTCTCGTGATTCCAGGACGGGTCGCAACCGCCAAGGCTTCGACTCTCCAGCGATGATGGAGCAGCGGGAGATGCTGATGGAGGCGGCCAGGGCGTGGATGGATCTGTCCCCAGCCATGTCTACCATCGACCCTTCTACTGTAGAAGTCGGTCAGCCCACGAGACTGCTAATACAGTGCACTTTACCTGGTTAGTTAAAGCTGTAATTTTCATTTAATAATACGCACAATACAGGAATCATTCTTTCTTCGGTCACCCACACTCTGAAATTGTCAAATACTTACACTGAACAATACTGAACATGGCACATAACTCGTAGAGACGATGGCTATTGGGGCAGAAAAGTTCTCGAGTGGCGAACACGAGCCGAAAGACGTACCATGGGCAGGCCCCTCCCACTAGGTGGACCGACGATCTGGTGAAGGTCGCGGGAGGAGCCTGGATGCGAGCGGCGCAGGACCGGTCTTTGTGGAAATCCTTGGGGGAAACCTTTGTCCAGCTGTGGACGTCTTTCGGCTGAAACGAACGAACTTACACTGAAACGATTAAATAATAGTCTACTGCTGGAGACCAAACCTCAACTTTTCTTTTTACACTGATACCAGCCAGTCACTTTCCTGTTTCTATGCTTCATTTTCAAATCATTTCATTTCTATGCTACTTTCAGTTGGAGTTGGGCTACGCGTCACAAACTGTGTCGCCCATGATGGTCTCGGCGAAGCGTCCCAACGGCTGCTGGATGAAGCCGGGTGCCCCATAGATGAGACTATATTCAGCAAACCGACTGTACACAAGCACAAACTCAGAAGCTCCGAAATCGACTTCTCAGACTTGGAGCCTGTCGACATTCAGCGCAATATGGAAGAGAACAGCAACATCAAACAATTGAAGACTGACCCTGAATACATATTCAAGAATATAATGACGTATCAACACGCTTTGACCACTTTTGCTGCTTTCAAGTTTCCCGACCGATCTAAGTTACATTTGACCTGTGGTATTGAGTTGTGCAAAGGGCACTGTCCGCCGATAGACTGCAAAATGCTACAAAGACCGCAGCAGACGAAAGACGGCTTGGTGAGGAAGGCTCGTTTAGATAAAGATGCGAAAGGAGTAGTCATTGATCGGCTTGAAGTCTATAACAGCATAGAGGTACTGGCACCTAACATCGAATTAGAAGATGAAGCTTCAATAAGAGGTAAGTAAAAAAAAACTATTTATCGTCGCCTTAGAGTGAAAATCTCGGGAATATATTTTTTTTCATACTTGTGCATTTTACGCATTTCGGTCAATCTTACAGAATATAACAGTTCTGGATAAAAAAGCGGGTTAATCACTTCTTTTTACGTTTTCACTCTAAGGCGTCGTTAAACGTAATTGAAATTGAATAATAATCATAATTTTCTTTTTTTTTCAGGATCCCGAAGGATAGAATCAGAAGAAGAGGAATTCGTGCGGACGTTCTCTCCCGGAGACAAAACGATTTGTCTCTCACCAGGAAAAATGGCTTTAGCGTTCTGTGTATTAGGGGTCATATTCCTGTGCGCTATCGCCGTTGCGTTTGTCTCTCTGGTACGAGCCAGGAGACGACTGGGCAGAGAGCCTTTACATACTTCTCTGTCGTTCTACACTGGTAGTAAAAGCATGTTCTCATCCAGTGAGAGCTCTAGTTCAGGTCTAAGCGGCAGCAAACTTCTCCTAACTGATAGCCCTTACCTGGATCATCATTCGTCGTCTAGCAATAACTGGCCATATTCAAGAGCCTATTAAAACTAAGTTAAACTAAGTTCATGGTTTCAAAATGAATCATGTTAAGTCAATAGGATTCAACTTCTATTTCAATTTGTTTGACAAGGCAAAAAACGGACACATTTTTAGTACCTTGATAGTTAAACTATATTTACAAAGATTAATAAACAAAGAATTTATTAGAGACTAGAGATAGAGCTCCTATTTAAAAGTCAAACAAAACTAATTAGAGTTAATTATCAAATTTCATTGTTTTATAAATAAACAAGACTGTGCTTCGAAGCGTGCTTACCTCCAAAGCTTTTCTACGTTAGGTTTTATACTTAGACGCTATTTATTTTATTAAGATACAACGAGTTTTGTACAATTTGAGGTGGTGCTATTGATCAATCAGTCGGCTTCTAGAGCTGGTCACTTGGGGTAAAGGTAAGGGTAATCTTTCTTAGTTAAACTTTTTATTTGGTAAGTAGTATTAAGTTATTTATTTACTGGATATTACTCAGTTTTCTTTCAAACTATTGGCAAGAGCAACTAAGTTAAATCTAAATTATTGAAGGTACATTTATGATTTTGGACTAAAAAAATCGGTTCATTTTCCAATTGTAACAAGCAATAAAATAAGGATCAATGTAGGTAGATGATTATTATAAAGGCATGGAATAATGATTAGATAATAAAATCATACTATGCTAGTATCATTAGCACTACCTCGACACAATAGGTTAAATGTATTTCATATTTTTAGATAACTATTACTACTGAATAAGAAATAAAGAATGATTGATTGTATTATTGTGATATGTGAACGAAATAAATTTTGTACTAATTTATACTTATGATAATGATATACAATGATACCTAATAAAGGGAGTAAATGAATTACTATTGTTTAATTGACTCTGCATAACTTTTAAACTTACTTTGTCCTAAAAAGAGACCAACGAACAAATTAATGATTCGCGCGAAGTTAGTCTTGGGTTCGAATCCCAGGCGGGAAAGGCTGCTATTTATTATGCTAATCAAGTCAGACTCATAGTATGAAAAACTCAAAATCCATCGGACAGTTTTTAAAAGTTTTTTAAAACTTTCGTTGAGCGCGTAATTTTAGATTCGTGATAGTGACATCTAGCGGAAAGTGAGGGAACGAAACAATTTTTTTACAGAAGTTGTCAGCGCCATGAAGCTAAAGATAAAAATGGAGGCCAGACTTAGAATGCCTACTTGAAGCACAACCTATGTATCACTATCTCGCTCTCTGTGGGCAGGCTCTCTCTTTCTAAGTAGGGTAACCTTTTATTTATTTTTCTCAGGACGACAAAGACTGATTTACGTTTAAACAGTGTGTCTTGATAAAGTGCACTTAATATGATTATGAAAAAAGGTTTTCGATGTTTTTGTTTTAAGATGAATTACAACATTAAGAAAGTGTAAAGGCATCGAAAACTGTGGATATTTGATAGAAAACAGATTTTAATTTGGCAGTTGACAGACGGATTTGGATATGGATTGATTACAGTAAACGGCCGTAGAAAACATTATGCAAAATTAGATAAGTAAGGTCCCACAGAAAGTCCCAGATATATCCTCAATATGGTCATACTACTTCAAAATGTCTTATAGAAACAAAAATTTTAAATTTGCTCAAAGTCAATGAAACTCAATGTAAAATCTTCTTTTTCTTGACATATGTAACATTTAATAATAAGTTTAAATACTGGTAAAACGTTTTAGGAAGTAATTACTGTGAAAATACAAAGAAATATGTTAACAATGATCCACTGTCAGAAATCACGAAATAAACACTTACGCGTGGAATTTTATATCACTTCCAGGACAACACGAACTACCGCAACCACGCACTATACAATTTTGCACCATTTCTTCAGACAAAACAATGTTAAGGTCCCTTGAAAAATCTCAAACGAAATCAACTGCATAGTAAACAACCGCCATGATGGGCCGGATTCGGCCGATGTTGCCACATTACCGATACCTCAGAAATTGGGATTGTAATTCCCTGATTCGCCAACACATTAAGCCTAAATGGCCGACAATTTTGTGATTTTTTATTTAACTAGGTAATCTAAGTTTCAAATATTAATTATTTATTTATTTAACTTCTTATTTGGTTAGTGAATTGGCTATTTCGAAGAATTTACAAGGAGATTTAAATTAAATAATTAAAGGAGGTTTTTTTAGATTCTATACTGACAGAGGTGAATAAGCAAATAGGTAGGATATTTGACAACAATAATAATAATATGTACTTGATGTCACCTTCTCCACAATCGAAGAGAGTCTTTTTAAAGAAAATCCGTAGGCAATAAGATTACAATTTGTCGAATGACATCATACTCATCAAAGATTAAGCAATAAATAGATGGTTTTAATAGTACTGACATGGATGCCAATGATTCTGCCTAAAATTTTTATTTTACATTAAATAAAATAATATGAAACAAATTTTAAGCTGCAAAGGGAAAAATATCAGAAATGATAGTTAATACTTATATAGTAGAATTCGAACCTCGATAAGTAGAAAACCTGCCAATAACTCGAAAAAATGTTGTGCTGTGTTCTTTTTCCTTCAAGCCACCATTGCTCGAAATTTGACTTCTCTGTATATCAAATTAATTAGTAAGTCCCTCCTAAAGCCTGGTCCGTGAGCACGTAGAATCCCGTCCAATGACCCCAAGCTGCCCATCCTTGTCGCTCGCACGTAATTATGTTGCTGTCGCGATCGCACACTCACTGCGGGCGCGCGTCGCACAGTCGCGACTCGCGACAGCAATATAATTACGCGCGAGCGATAAGGATGGGTAGCTTGGGTAGAGATGGGTTTCCACCCGGGTAAAAACCCACATGAGGGTAAAAACCCAATAAAAACCCGTTTCATTCCACCCGTGGGTGTTTACACCGGGTGAAAACAAATAATTTTATAATTATTTCAATTGGTATCTTTTCTTTATTTTTATTGAATTTTTCTCATTTAAGTTTATTGATTAATAAATAATAAATCAAATTGAACACTAATATGCATTTATATCGTGGCCAAATCGTAAAATTGATCACGTTATGATGATGTGACCAATTATTTTATAAAATGATGTTATTTCAAGAATCGTTGAACCGATTTAGAAGAAATTTAGTAGGAAGTAGGAACACAATAATTTGTGATCATGGCAAGGACATGGAGGGGGGGGCATGCCAAAGATGCCAAACTCTCTCTTTGATGACATTACGGTATAAAGTTACAAATAACAACACCAACTACAAAGTACTTCTGCTTAAAAACTTGAAATCGAACCGCCCTTCCGCCACTGTAACGCATTGTAACGTTTTTCAAGACCTCCTCTCCCCCCAGATTGCATTACGTAACACTAGAACGCCCCCTTAGCAACAAATACCACTTCTCACTTAAAAAAAACGCTATTTTTGTTTTCACCCACCAGAATGGGTGATAATGGGTAAAAACCGGTAAAAACCGTTTTTACCCAAATCACCCAGTTTAAACCCAATCGGGTGAAATGGGTTTTTACCCACTACCCATCTCTAAGCTTGGGGTCATTGGACGGGATTCTACGTGCTCACGGACCAAGCTTTACAAGTAATTCAGTGCCCCGATTATCCCCGGGTATCGCTATGATGCCTATTTGATTTACAACCTTTACAAGTGGATTATTTGAAACGATTAAATTAATTACTCCTATAGCTCAAATAAAATAAGATGCCAACTATAAAAATATCTTGTAGGCCTAGGATAAGCGGTAATCGCGTCATTTTATCGATTTTGCCCACACATTAACATTTTTAACGTCTAAAATATAAATATGAGTATTCTTTGTAGTTTCTTTGAGTATTATCATGGCGTGCATTCTAGCCCGGCTGACAATATTGTTAAAAATCAAATCAATACAAATAAATGTTTTTTTTATTTGATTTGTTTCTAAAGAATCGACGTTATAAAAGTAGGTATAAACTAAATTAATTCTGTGAAAAACCCACTTGCCTGCCCCCCTACCCTAGCCTGAATAAGTTGCACTTTTTGATCTAATCGAAAATCGAATTCGTCAAAACTCCATACAAAAAAAAGGCCTTTCGACCACTTTCGTGTATGGTTTGTGATTTTATTGTGCACTTTGTCTACACCCACTGATTATAAATAACTATTATCTAAGCTAGACAATAACCAAGGAAAATCACAAAAACGTGTCAATATTGTATTGTAAAAATATGTAGTATGTACCTTCTGTGTATTTGTTTTATCTATGGCCAGCCAGAAAGGTGGGTGATGCCGTGATGCTTTCGTTCGCGATCGCGACGAACGATCTTTTCGCCTTGCCTTCGAAGCCGTGTTCGTACTCGCAGTCACGGATGATAATTTAACTATTCCTGTATGAAGCGTGAATTCCCGTAATTTAGAAGTTTATGTGGGTTATGATTTTGCTACATAAAACCTGTAAAACGACTGTTGATGAAGTGTTAGTGCCGTGAGACGTGAATTTGGAACGATTGGTCATAGTTCCCGCAATCGAGTGAATTTGTGTGTGCCGACGAATTTATGTGTGTAACCGACCGGGAATAGCGTATCTTCATTTTATTCTTGAAGGTGAGTCCCAAAATTTATCAGTTTCTATCAAGAAACTAATTAGATTTACTGGCGGTCTAAATCCTATTGAAAATTTTGACCAGGTAGGTAGGTACCAGCCAGGAACATTCTTTGCTATCGCTTTTTGTGAAACCTAATATCTTCTACAGCTGTGGTAAACGAATTCAAATCAAATTCATATTAAGTAAATCATATAATTATTATCAGAATTCACTACTATGAGTTTTGACCCGGTTTTTTTATGTAGTTATTTGAAGCCATACCTTCACTGGTAATTACTAAGAATGGCTAAAATGATTACCTACTTACTTTCTTATTTTTATTCCAATATCTTCTAAGCACTCTAAAATAAAAATAAAATGATTAATGAAAAAGATCTGTAAATTAATTAAAAGTAATGATATATTGAAGAGAATAAATGCTAGTTAATGATTTTGTACAATTTATTGTCTTTCCTTTGGGGTACAGTGAATCAGGGTTCTGTAAATTTCATTAAAGCACCTGTTCAAACACTAAAATAATGATCTAATAATTTATTGGCTGTTTTCTTTTTTAACGAGACCTCTAAAGATTTCCAATGTACCTATTGACTTTTTATTTATGCGGCCAGTTTTACCACTCACTGAGTAAGTACCTACCTACCTGAGGTGGAATTGTGTAAAGCAATCGTAATCATTTGACAGTTCATAACATACGATAAAGTCAGTTAAACAAAGCGTTTGACAGAATAATCGTATGTTATGAACTGTCAAATGATAACGATTGCTTTACACAATTCCACCTCTGATTGCCTGCTACAAACTTATTTGTCAGTTTAACTTACATTTTTAGTTTCTCAGATCTCAGAAAGAGATATCTGGCAGTATATGTTACCAGCAATCAGTATACAAAAGGGCACATTTAATTTTAAGTTCAGTCAAAATTCTAAAATTAAATAATAATAATTCAACAATTTTTGCCCAATTAAATCTCCATTTATACTTCCCACACATTTTAAAATAAGATTGTGATATGCCACAAGTTTTTCAAGTAGTTTTTCTCTTTTATTATTATTATAGCTTTATAAATCCACAGTTATTACAGTTATATTTAAAATTAATTAAGTATTTCTCTTGATTGTGGCCCCACTTGGGTAAAAGCCTCCCTTACATTCTTGTAATTTCCGTTGCTGACTGCACAATTAAAGCCAAAGAGAATGCCCAATGAGGCCCAGTTTTCCCCTAACAAACACTGTCTCCGTGAGCGTAACATCCCATTCTGGAGAATGCCTGAGGCGTTGTTCTGTGATTCATGAAGTTCTGCCCATTCTATCCAATTCCTTTGCACAGGACGGTATACAGGGTGTGGTGTTAGTGGTCCAAAGCAAAGGGGTCGATACACTGTACACGTAGGTACCCCATAACATACTAGTATTTAAAAAAAAATTTAAGAAAGTTTAAAAAATTTTTTTTAAAAATTGATACCTTGTTTTACAAATTTGGTTATAATTAAAAATAAATACTGTATTTTTGATTTTTTGTGTTAGTACTGATAAAAAATACTGTCAAGTTTTGAAATTATTAACCAATTCATAATGCAAGGTAAAAAAAAACTTTTTTTGAACATGGTATGTATACTTCAGTGTACAGTGTATCGACCCCTTTGCTTTGGACCACTATTTACGACACACCCTATAATGTATTTTGATCTTTTGTAAAGACTGTTTATGATTTTGATGAAACATCAGCGAAAGGAAAAGTACTAAGTTCAGCAGATTGTTGTGCAGGGTGTCAGTGTGCAAACAGAGAAGTGAATGGTGTGCCATTATTCAATTCATAAATCAATAAACATTTCAATGACACTGCTATAAATCTAGTTATTGTGTAACCACACAGAGATCAGAGCAAAAAGGGATAATGTCAAGAACATGAGGAATTATAAATTTTCACTACAATCAATGGTGCTTCAGCCAGCACATAGTAGATTGTTTACACAAGAATTGAACTTGCTATAACATTAATTTCTCACTGGGATTCCCAATTCTATACCTGGTTTGTTTGTTATTTTAAGAGTTACTGTGCATTAAAAATCAGAATTAGTAATCTTCAAGTTATAACAATGCTGCAAGGTACAATAGTTATAACAATGCTGCAGTGTGTTTTAGAATAGTTTTGGGGAAAAAAAGATCACAAATAAATGGACCTTCCATTAGAAGAGTTAGCTGGATATTAAGAATCATGGCATCATCAACAGCTAAGTTCGCGTCATGAAAAAACTGTGAAACTTGCGGTGTGGAAGAGCTCCTCAAACTCTTACAATCTGTAGAATCAGCCATCTTAATGACTCCTGATTTAAGGACCTAATTCGTAAGAAGTCTTCACGAAAATCTTATCGCCCGATCAGCCTTCGATCACCCCAATCGAAACTCTTCAAGGATTCATCTAGTCCTTCGAATCTTGAAATCGGAGCATCAACGAAATTAAAAAAAAACACCGTACATCGGGAAATCTCTGCTTCGTCCAAATTCAGGAGCCAGTTTATGAAAATGTTTCATGTAGTTTGCTTATTCATTCATTCATCCATGATAGTAGTAGAGTTAATGGGTTGAATGACTAAGTTATTACAGGGATAATCTCTAACGTGTCTCGTCCAAAAATTTCGGAAATTAGAGAAACCGCAACGTGAAAATCGTTTACGCATATTAAGGTCAGAGGTCAAAAGGTATATTAAATCTTTCATCATACAACCTTGTATTTCGGTTAGAAAGTTTTCCCGTGTATAATAGGGTTTATGTGGCTTCGCTAGAAAGTTTTTCCCGTTTCGCAGTACCTCGTAAATTTCAAAATTAAAATGGAATCATCATGAATTTGCGTGCGTAGGATCATATTTTGTTGACACCAACTTTCGTAACGCGGTATTAATTCATAATTCCCCTGTATAAAGTGTATTTCACTGGGGTGGCAGTGTGGCAGGCCTGGGGAGGGGCGTGCGTGCACTAGGGATATGCGGCCCGCCGGCGCCAGGCTGGAGACCGATCGATATTGCGGCCACTGCTCACTCCGCTGAGTTCGGGGTACGACGTCGACGCGACACGCCAATCTCGCTAGCGTTACAATCGTTTCCGTGTTCCAGTGTGTTCATACCCTTAGTCATTAGACTGCTGTGTAGTGATTACCCTATTGGATGTGCAGAAATGAGATAGTCCTCAATTCTTACTGGTATGTGTTAAGATGGCTATGGATAAGTTACTGGTTTAGTGGCCTTATTTCAGGATCAAATCAATAGTGAGATTTGACCGGTGATGTCACGTCGGATTTCTATTCTACGGTACATTCAGGCATCTATTAAGTTATTTGAACTACTGCTTCAAATGCGTATAAGGCTTAAACGATTTCAAATTATTCCTGTACTTCTGTGACGAAAATTTCAGACATGTTTTTTAATGAATAAACCAGGGTTCGAGGATATATATCAAGGGATATATATCTTGATATATATCGGATATATATCCGATATATATCCAGCCTGTTTTGATGATATATATCAATTTTTAAAATTTGTAACTGTATTTGTACTTTTTCACATAAGATTTTTGTTTTTTAGTTGATTTTGCCGTATTTACAAGAAGATTTTATGTCTTTGCTTTATTTGTCTGATTTTAAGTTTTAAAAACATTAAAAACATGTTTATGTAACACATATGCAATGGTATTCATAAATAATACAATAAAATAATAGTATAGCTTTCATACAAATTTGATATATATCAAAGTTGATATATATCGGATATATATCATAAATATCCGATATTTTGATATTTATAATAAATATCGGATATTTTCGAACCCTGGAATAAACACTCTAAATGGGTAGTAACTTGGCTTCGTCGAATTGTATTGCTTTAGCGCTTTGCAAGGAAAAATAAGCCACAATTTTCGCAAAACAGTAAAGGTTTGTGAACAGAACAGCCTCTAATCTTTTATATTATAATGTATCCATTACCGCAGCAGAATATTGGTTCCAATCGGGCGCGATGAATCCATAATTTGGGTCAATAAAGCTAGTCTATCCAGGGTAGTTCATGACCTACCTTTCCCGGAGATTAGACAAACTTTGCCCGACAGAACCTGTCGGATGAGATCTAAACCAACGCGGCGGGCGGCCCGCCCCCTCTGTCATTGAGGTCACTTGCGCAGACGTAGGTACTGTCAACTAGTAATAATATTTGACGGCCGGAAAACATGACCATCCGAAGTTAGAACCTCACATTAAATCAACAGCTATGGTTTAGGTACCGCGTTACACACTAAAGAATCTCTTTCTGAAATGTTCGGAAATATTTCTGATGTCAGTGCTCCTTGAAATTCTTCTCTATCATCTCAAATTTGAATATTCAGTAGTTTAATTAGATTAGGTTTGGCAATTGCCTAATCTATTTAGCCGTATTAGCAGATGAATAAGTGGCTTATTCTAGTGTCAGAGTTGTCTACTACTTTTTTATATTTTTAAACCGGCAGACAGTGGTGACTGAGTTTGTTGCGGCGCTTCTTCTCAGCACTTGCCAAATGTTTGTCTCGAAGCGCTGGTAGTGCAAAAAAAGAATGAGACATGTATAGGCTCCTTAAGAGCATTTGACGATTTGCAAGAACTAATTTAATTAGTCTAAACAAATAAAGATAATTTTGATTTTGATTTTTGATTTTACATATTTCAAGCTATACCTACTTCAAATTACGCATTGGTTATGTTACGCAGTAATGGCTAACCTCTCAGATTTTGTATTGCTAAAGAGGTTTTATCTTGCTTGGTTTCAGTTAGTTCTTCCCAAGGTTTTAAAGATTAGTGCCATGTTGATTGTTTCAACTGTGCAGATGATATCATACAGCATAATACTAAGTCCATTTTTATTGCGTTTGCTAAATGTGAGGTCATCTACCAATTTGCGATACCGAACCCACATTTGGTTCTAATACATTGGCAAAACAAAGTTTATAAACCGAAATCAAACTAACAATTCACATT